TGATCAAGGCTAGTTGGAGTCCTATATGCCTCACTTATCTGTATGTCAAGTTCTTTTCCCCTGCTTGGGAAGTTTTCTGCCAGTATTTCTGTGAACAGTTTTTTTTTTGTTTTGTTTTGTTTTTGGTATTGGGGATTGAACTCGGAGCCTTGAGCTTGCAAGGCAGGCAGAAGAACAGTGTTTTTTTTTTAAATGTCATCTTCACTCTCTGCTTTTCTTCATTGACTCCAATCAGTCTTATGCTATTCTTCTTTGCATCATCTAGCAGCTGTTGGATTGATTTCTTGTGGTCCCTTACAATTTCAAAGCAATTTTTCTTTTCCTGCTCACTAATTGCAATATTATCTTCTATATCTGAAATTCTGTCCTCACATTGGCTCATTCTGCTGTGTAGACTTTCAATGGAGTTTTCGATCTCCTGGCAATCTGTTTGCATCTGTTTTATGGATTCCATTTATTTCCTATGTTGGGATTCCATAATGTTCCTTACCTCCTCTCTAGATTTATTAATCATGTCTTGCACTATGAGCACAATTGCTGCTGTTAGCTGAGAAATTAATTCTGATTTTATTTTTTCCAGATCCTCTTTTGTTTCCAGTTCAGGGCGTTCAGGTGGTTGAGTGAGTATCAGAGTGTTCCACTTCGTTTCCCTTTGGGGTTGCTATAGGTGATCTGGAAGTCTGGTTTTGAGACTTGTTTACGTGTCTTCTCATTTTGACAGGGGGTTGGGGGGTTTTCTGCTGCTGGTGCCCATGGGGCTCACCTCCCCTGCCCTGGGATTGGTGGTACGGTGGCCTGGAAGCCTCCTCCTCTTCGCTGGGAGCCTCAGTTTGACTTTACTCAGTTTCTATGATGCCCTGTTAGATTTCTTTCTCTCTCTTCCTTTTAAACGTAATATGCAGCTCAGAGTGGACAGTAGATGATTACTTGCAGGGAGCCTGAAGAACACTCTTTGTGGCTGTGTGAGGGATGGACTCAGCTCCAGTGACTTCCGATGGGCAAAGATGGTGAGGGTACAGAAGGAGAGTCCTTGGGAGGCATGGAGAGAGCGTCATTCCACAGCTCCCCATGGAGCCAGCTCTGCTCTTTGCTTCCCTCCCCATAGGTTATGACACAATTAAAAATTCTGCATTGTCAACTTGCAGCGTGGATGAGGCCTAGAGGCCTGGGAGGAGGCCCTCTGTGGGGCCCTTCAAACATGCCCAGCAGGAGAATTTACTGAACCATGAAATCGCATATAAAATCTTCCTACATTTTCTTCCTGCATGTGATGGTTTGGATGGAGACTGTCCCCCATGAGGTTCGTGTGTTGTGTCGTGGGGTTTAGGGGAGGTGATTGGATCATGAGGTGCTATAGTCCTAGGGGATTAACCCATTGGTGAGTTCATAGCTAAATGGGCTGCCAGGAGGTTGGCCCATGTTGGAGGAAATGGGCCACTCAGGGTGTGACCTAAAAGGCTACATTCTTGTCCCCAGCCCCTTGTTCTTTCCTGGTCCTTTCCTGCTCTCTTTGCCTGTGGCCACCATGAGGTGAGCAGCTTTTCTCTGCTATGCACCCTCACCTAAAATTAAACCTCTCCTCCGATAAGTTGTGGGTTTGGGTATCTTGTACAAGTAATGGGAAAGCTGGCTAATATACTCCCCAATCTCATTTCAGGGAGGAGGGAGGACTCAGAAACTAGAAGCTGGTTCAGGGCATGGTTCTTAAGGTCTGCTGTAGCATCCTCAGCTCAGTGAAGTGATTCCACGGATGTACAGGGCATGGAGGTGGGGAAGAGGAGAGGTCTAGATACCTGAAGACATGGCCCCTTTTCTAGACTGACCCCTGGAGGAGGTGGCAGCATGTCACAGGGTAAGGCAGTGTGGTGGTATGGATTAATTATCAACTGGAGTGGGGAACACCCAGCTGAATTGAGTCGGCATAATTCTGGCATGGAAGACCCACTTAAGGAGGCTCGTTGTTGGGATGGTATCAAAGGAGAATGGGCAGCGGGGAAAGGATTTCAATTGATCCTTGGAAGAGCTTCCTTGTGGCTTTCTTCCGAAGAGTTTCAGTGGTTTTTCTTCAAAGGAGTTTTGGTTGCTCTCTTTCTTCAGGGGAGCTTCACTCCTTCATCTTGGACGTCATCTGCTGGCTTCCAGTGCAAGTCCCTCAGCCTTTTGGCACAGATGTTTCAGCTTCCAGCACTGGCCCTTAGGCCTTCCCAGCACAGATCCTTCAGTCTCCCATCACGGATCCTTCAGTCTCCTGATATGGACTTGCATGGGACATTGCCATGGGCTCCAAGCCCTCCACTGGATCCTTTGGGTCTCCAGCTTACAGACAGTTGTCTTGCACTCTCCTCCATCTGACTCTGGTAAACACTGAGTAATACAGGCAGTGTCATAGTTTAGATCTGGGGTGTCCTCTAAAGCCTCATGTATTTGGATGGAGATTGGCTTATTGGTGCACTGTACACCTTGGTGGATTAGTCCACTGAGAGTTCATAGCTGACTTGCTCTTAGGAGGTAGGGCCTGGATCACTGAGGAGTGAGACCTGGAAGGGTATATCTCCTTCTCCATGTCTCCCTTCTGTCCTGGCTTCCTGGCCACCATGATGTGAGCAGCTCTCCTCCACCCAGCCCCTCCACCATGCCTTTCTTGCCTTGGAGTCAGCCAACCACGGACTGCAACTATGAAAAAAAACAACAACAAGCTCTCTTGCTTTAAATTGTGGGTGTCAGGTGTTTGTTCCAGGAATGAGAAAGTGCCTAAGACAGGCAGCACGTCGACGGGCACCTGGTAATCACTGTGCTTTGAGCCTCGAAAGGGTGCCTGGCTCATGCTGTCCATGCTTTGGTAGACACCACACAGTCTGAGACCAGGGCCTTGGTCCTTCAGCAGACCCTGGACACCTCTGCAAAACCCTGGGTCAGGCAGACCACACCCTAGTTGTGCTTTGATTTCCTACCTACTGTAGAAGTGAGGAGACCTGAGATGAAGTCATTTTGCTTAATGCCATAAATAAGACAGCTCTTACATTTGATGTACAAATTCACATTTGCATATACCTATCTTTCCCTTATTTATTCAGTGAAGGCAGATTTACTCTATAATGTAAGTCTATAGATTTGTTCTACAATGGATGCAGACCCTGCAACAGGTGCTTTCTATTCAGAAAGGACTACAAGAAGGCTCCTCACTGCAGGTGAGAGAGATCTCACCCTCATGACTCTTAGGCTTCACTGACCAACCAGTAAAATTTGGGTGCCCAAGCTCCTCCCAGAAAATCTCCATGCAGACTGCAATCTCCCTCAGCGTCCTTGCTCTCAAGTACATCACGATCATAGGGCCCAGGAGCAAGTGCACCAGGAGATCTAAGTGGCTGACTTTGGAGGCCAGGACAAGTTCAGATCCATGTCCCAGGCCAGGAGAGAGGGGATGTGGTCTCACTCCGTTGGCGGGTCCTTAGGGAGTTAACTGCGAGACAACTGGGTTAGTTGAAAGGAGAGCACAGTTGAGAGAAAGAGGAGTGGGAGTATGAGAGAGGCTGGAGAGGGTCTAGGAAAGGCAGCTCAGACTTGGCTGGAGGTGAAAGAGAATCGGGGGTGGCTTGACTGCATTTTGTGCCGATTAGACAGGAGAAATCTCGTAAGAAATGAGGAAAAGATTGAAACACCCTACACCTGTGCACTGCCATGTTTCCCTGCCTTCCCAGAGAGTAGGAATCTGGCCCTCAAGAAGAGGACTGGATGGGAGGGAGGAGGACCTGCTTGCTCCAGGAAAAACATGAAGTTTGTGGGGTTCCCATCCATCTATACTGAGGAGTTGCTCAGTGCTCTCTGCTCTGACGCTGGGCGAACAGAGGTGCTTTTGGCTTTCCTGCTCAGTCACAGGGATCTTCTCTTCCTGGAATCCAGGGCTCTACTGATGACTCTGATAAGGGGCTGTCCACATGTGGGGTTTGGGCTGAGAAGAAGGCGTGATGCTAACAGTTATGCTTATTTCAGTTCTCATGGTTTCTCTGTCTTTGTGGCAAAGAAGCCAACAACAGGAAGTGAAGTCAGAAGGAGGGCCCAGTCTCCCAGAGACTCAGGGTTGAGGCCAGCACATTGCTAGCTCAGGCAGAGACTGGGATGAAGGGTTTCTGGGCTTAGCTTGCTAACCCAGACTTTCTGGGCATGGGGAACTCTGTGAGCAGTGCTGGAGCCTGGGCTGTCTGGGGGAATGCTCACACTCTGGGAGAATCTTGCATGGAAATGTAACACCTCAGGATCTGTGTTTGTTTGAATGTCTAGCTATTGGCTTTAAGATTCACATGCTAATGGAATTCTCTCTTTTTTTGTGGTTCTGAGATTGCAAGATGGTAAGAAGAAAGTCCAGCTATTCCTGGAGGAACGAAAGAGAAACAGTGCAAGCTAGAGTCTTGGGAGAGGTAAAGCTCCCAGCTCTCCTAGGCCGGGATGGCGTTGTGATGACTTCAGAGGACAGTGTGAGAGGCCACCCACCACACCTATGTCACTGAATGAGAAGTTCTGGAAACCTCCGGGCCTCTGTGTGAGATTCTTCCTGGCAGACAGAGTGCTCTGGGGATGGAGGGCTGTGGAGATGGCATGTTCTGCCACCTGGTGCCCTGATTCTGCCCGTCCCACAGACAGTGGTGCACAGGGGTTGGTACCCACCTGGCAGAAAGGAGCAGGGAAGAGGTGCCCAGCTTAGAGAGGATGCCACACTCCTGAGGCTGAACTTGTTGCAGAGAGAGAGGCTCTGGCGTGCTTGGCAGTAGCAGAGGCTGTGCTGGGGCTGCTTCTGGGTGAGGGACACACAGGAGGGTGGCAGCACCGTGTTCTGAAAAGCAGCATCAATCACAGCTATGCCCTCTGACCACTCTCGAAAGTCAGCCTTGGACACAGTAGGTGTGCTCTAGGGATTTTCTGGGAAGGGGAATGTGGACACTGGGTTTGAAGCCAGTATCTCAAACATACGAAGTGCAGGCTTTCCCACTGGGTTACACCCCCAGCCCAAGACGAGCTTTCGAAGAGGGGATTCTGGAGCTGGGAAGGAGCAGCACATTCACTAAGCACATTTCACAGGCTCTCTGGCTCATCAGGTTGCAGACCAGACACACTCAATAAATACGTGAACTGTCCTTAGAGTAAACAGAAAAATGATGCTAGTTATTCTGGGACTGGAGACAAGAAGAACAAGTCAGATCTGAACAGAAAATGATAAAACCTGCCCTAGTCAAAGCCAAAACACATCTGTGGGTCATATTCTATTTCTCTATATCCTGTATAACTTCTGTCTAGTGGGTATGTCTGATTCTGAAATAAATATACTGGAAATATCTTAGTTATATTTTTGTCATTCTCCATGGATTTATTTGTATTTGATGTTAATTTATCTACACACTTCTTTATATCAAATTTCTACATATGCATATATATACATAAAATAGCATTAATTTGAATGCTTCTAGCTCTATGTAAATAGTGTAATTATTTATATTATTATACAGCTCACTTTAAAAGGAGACATCCCACTAGGGCCCATATTTAATAATATGCAAGGAAATGAGGCTATTTTCTATGAAATTTTAAGCAAGCAGAAAGGATCTGGAATGCTTTGAAAAGATGAACATTTAAAAAATTCAAATAATTTTATCAAGCAGAAATGATTTCTTGTCAAAGGAAAGTAGGCAGGAATATTAAAATACTAAACTGACACAGTTCCCAAAATAATTCAATAAAACTAAAATCCCTATTCAAATGCATAAGTTCAGAACATTCTTTGAAAGCTGAATAGTGAAAGTTCATGAGAATTGTTTATTCTTTCATCGTTTCCTTTTAAACTGCTCTTTGAATAGCTGTTGTACATACAAAACAGGACTCATCAGTAACTAGTTTCCATTTTAAAATATATATTACGATGATCAGAAGCAATTGTTAGAGGAAATCTCAGGCCACAATATTAATGAAAAACTGTTTTCCCCCGTATTAACATCAGAGAGGAGCAATTGGGCTGTGTATTTGTCCATTAGAAAATCACTTGACACTGAGCAATTTAACTGGAAATTTTTAGTTTGGAACCAATTTCTACTGGCATGCAAGACTCCAAGACCTTATAAAAGAAAGAAGACTTCATGGCTTTATTAGTGGTGTGAGCTATGGTCTTTGTTTCCCTTTTTAAAAACTTTGTTCTATTTTCCCTCAACTTTCTCATATTTTGAGAAAGGACACTTAAATTTGCAACATTTTAAATTTAAGTATTGTGTCCACATACATAATCCTAGTATTAAAAATTCTTTTACTGAGCCTGGAGGACATTACATAAACCAAGATAATCAGGCACTGAAAGACAAATAAATGTGCAAGTTCCTACTTGTGTGGAAGCTGAAGCTGATCTTGTAGAAGTTGAGTGGAATAGTGGTTACCACAACCTGGGGAGGGTTGAGGGGCCACAGAATGGAAACGATGGTTAATGGGCACTGAGATGCAATTGCATAGGAGAAGTGACTTCTAGATGTAGCGCAGAGGGATAACTATGGTTGACAACAATTACTTGTGTATCTCAGATAGCTGGCAGAGAAGATTTTCAGATATTCCCAGCACAGAAAAATAATAAATGTTTGGAATGATGGCTATGCCAATTACCTGAATTGATCACTACACTTTGTACAGATGTATTGAAATGTTACCTGTACCCCCAAAACATGTATTATAGACAGCTAAGCTAGGTAGAAATATTATAGGCAGTCAGATGGGGCCAGGCCCTCGACAGAGTCAGCACAAAAGATAAGAACACATTACACATTACAGTAGCCGGAGATGCATCCATTGGAGAACAGGCCTCAAAATAAAGATGAAATGACCAGGCCTGCATACTTCTGCAAAAGACAAGATAAGAGGTCACACCTGGCCTAGTGAGATCTAGATAGACATTAGTCACCCTGGTGGGTGACCAGGACCTCTGGATGCATCATTCCTTAAAAAAGTCTTTGTTCTTTCCATGCACACTTGTTGCATGACTTGTTCCCCCACTGGATCACTATGACCTAAGTGATTATACTTGTAACCTTATTGATTATGCTTTATAAAGCTTTCCTGTCAAGTGGGGTCCTTGGCTACCCATTCGGGACCCCTCCTGCCTCTCAGGAGCGATCCTCTCAATAAATCCTTCCTACTTGTAACCTCCCTTGTTCCTAAAATTCATTCTTCCGTTTTAGAGAACGTGAACTCTGCTTATCAGACATCTAACAGGTTGGGAATTATAATATTTCCCTTATATCATTTGGCGGTCCTATTTCATCTCCTGTATCATCCCTGTATCACACGTACAATTACTGTGTCAGTTAAAAATAATACATATTTCAAAAAAGAACGAGAAAGAAAACAGAAAACAGTTTATCATTTTAATGAGTGTATATAATATTCCATTAATTATATAATCTATCCTCATAATGCCCCTAATCTTTACCCAATTAAAAAAAATACTGAGTGTAATAACAGAAATTTACATTAGGGGAACAAGCAGAGAGAAAAAAAGTACATGTCTGAGAATAGAGAAAAGAGAACATAAAAGTGTCTCCATAAAAGCAACAAAAAAATGTAGGTCACAGATTTGGGAAGGACATGGCAACCAGCAGTTCACATTATTTAAGCAGAGAAGCCAGTGCGCATTGGCACAATTTGACATGCACACTGGTTCTTGCGTGTAGTTTGGAGAGGTGTTTGTGGTGGCTCATCAAGAGAATCGAAGCTGTGACCTTACAGTAAGCAGTTACAGTTTGCTCATAGCGGAGTGTGGTTTTATTTGGAATCAGAGTACTGGTTGATCCTCCCAGGAAATGTCTATTGATGAGGTGATTATCAATCTTTCCCCCTTGAACCACCAGCTGCAGAACTCTCACATTCCCTTTGCTGGAAAAATCCATGTTCCTTAGGAATCCTAGAAGCCAACTTCATTCTAGGCCCTACAGTTAAGTTCCCTCCACTCTGTCCCAACTGCATGCTGGCCTTGCCTCAAATAGCCAGCCAGGCCTTGAGCACCAGGGACTTTGCACCAACGGGTCACTAGGGAGTGAGGATCCAGAAGGAAAAGCAATTTGTACTTTTGTTCACCATTATATTGTGACATCCATCTGTGTGCATAATTTACTCACTTTCACTACAAATATCATGTTAATACACATAACAGGGCCGGGGATTTAGCTCAGTGGCGCCACGCCTGCCTTGCAAGCACAAGATTCTGAGTTCGATCCCTGGTTCACAAAAAACCCCCCAAAACCCCACTTATATCCAAATTCAACTATGCATTTTCCTGTTCCCAAATGTTAGGCGTTTCTGGACTTGAGGTATTATGATGTGGCCAGGAACTCTTGTGTTCTCGCCTCCTGCTGCACTGCTCCAAAGATTTCTCCAGCGTATGTGCCTGAGGGTGGAATTGCTGGTTGTAAATCACGTGCATTTCCAGCTTTACTGTTTATTGCTGGGTTGCTTCAAAATGGTTCCTTTCATGGTCTCTAAGTAGCTTTGACAGTCCAGACATCACAACCAACCAGTACCAGCAGCCAAAAGAAGAGATATGATCTCTCCTGATTGCTGTTAGGGATGAAAGAACCTTTTACAGGGACCTTCTGAGAATTTTGCCCCCAGGCTTAGACTTGGAGCAAGTCGTACACCTATTTTTGAAGCCACTATTGGCAAATAGAACCCTTAGCCCAGGTGTTTGAACCTCAGCATTCTTGGCACTTGGTTGCGGATCTATCTTGTGCATACAGGATGCTGAGCAGCACCCCTAGTTTCTCCCCGCCTTAGATGTCAGTAGCCCCTCCTCAGATGTGACAACCAAGGATGTTGCCAGACATTGTCCTACATCATGGTGGCAGGTGGAGGAGGGCTGCAAAATAGACTCTGGCTAGGACAAAAACCATATGATCATCTCAATAGATGCAGAAAAAGCATTTGACAAAATCCAGCACCCAGTCATGATAAAAACGCTACAGAAAATTGGAATAGAAGGTCTTTATGTCAACCTGATTAAGGCTATCTATGAAAAACCAACAGCCAACATCATACTAAATGGTCAGAAACTGAAAACTTTCATGCTAAAATCAAGAACAAGGATGCCCACTATCACCACTCCTGTTCAATATAGTTCTGGAAACATTATCCACAGCAATTAGAAAAGAGAAAGAAAGAAAAGGAATAAAGATAGGAAAGGAAGAAGTTAAACTGTCTTCATTTACAGATGACATGATACTCTATATAGAAGACCCCAAGAACTCCCCCAAAAGTTTTCTAGACTTAATTGACAGATTCAGT